ATATAGATATATACGCAGAGAGATAGAGAGAAAGAGAGAGAAGAGGTATAGTAATTATGAGGCAGTAACGATAACGTAACCGTGCGTTACAACTGGATATAGCAATTTCACGCTCGCCGGTACCGCACACACGCAACACCGTAATTTCTACTGTGCCAAATCGAATACTCTCGAGATTCACTTTTGCGCGCCGTGAATTTCGAACGAACCACTGACGAGTTAATTCATGCGTCACTGTCCGCACTTTCACGAAACATGTCGCCGGACTGACTAGCGCTCGGTTCTTCCTACCTGCTCTTTCCAACCGTTCTCTAATTATTTCTTTCAATGAAATTTTTCGAGAGAGAACGTAACCCACTGTTACAATTTTCATTCGGTAATGTGTACATTGAAAAATATAGAAACAACCTCGTTTTTAATATTCTTTTGTTCTGTTCGTGCTCGGAAATTCTTTGCCGAATCTGTCAAACTTTCTAGAAACTTGCGATGTGCGTGAAATGTAGAAAACGCTAGTTTTCTCGAGACGAAACTTTCAGTGATTATGAATTCCATTATGTATCAGTTTATTTATTAATTCTTCAGGAGAAACTCGTTAAAATGTAGAGATATTTAGAAAATTTCAATTAGTTAACTCTTTCGCTTGACAAGATTGAGAAACAAACGGAGAAAGCAGTTATTATTCAACACTAACATAAAAATAAAAATGGATACGATTGAAAATCAACTGTTTCACGATAATTATATGTTAAATGCATTCTAATACTGCTTAACTTTCAGTCGGCAGCGGTATTTTATTCGCAAAGTCTAAAACTACATTAATAAATTGCGCGTATTAGATGGGCGTATGTGTACGCTCTTCTTAAACGAGCGCTCGCTAATCACAGAGTGATCGCAGAGAAATTAAGATCGTCGGATATAGCCAAAAAAGCGCGACGAAAAAGAAATGCGTTCTAATATTGCCTAACTTTCAGTCGACAGCAAGATTTTTTCCCCAAAGTCTAAAAGTAAATGAATAAACCGCGCGTATTCGATGGGCGTATGTGTACGCTCTTCTTAAACGAGCGCTCGCTAATCACACAGTGATCGCAGAAGAGATCGATATCGTCAGATCTAGCGAAAAAAGTGGAAAGAAAAGAGAACTAATCATTATCAATTCATGTTCACAGTGAAACCGGAGTACAGAACGCATTGTCGTCACTTCGGCGGTGAATGCATGGACAGATGCAACGAAAATCTGCAACACCCAGTTGTCGATTGTCCACCCGGCAAAGTGTGCTGCACGTTAGTTTAATCGGGAGATGAATTGGAGAAGAAAGCAACACGACCAAATGCCTGTCCACCGTTTCAATCCTAGTGTTAATTTTAAGCGATCATTTTTGAACATCAGCTGGTATCCGATGACGAATGTAATATCACGCGATACCGCGCATCTGTTCTGTAGAAAAGCGACTTAATTAGTTTTACAATTACATACAACGGTAGATGCCCTGTGTAACGGGCTTCCGCGAGCAATTCTCGCCCGTATGGAGTATGAAAAATCGTGCACAATCGCGGCGCGACATGTCGCAGATGTGGGATTCCGCCGCGTGAAATTAGTGCAAATGTGAAAACGTTCGCTTACCACGCAGTCTCTCTCACCTTGGCGAACGGTGAACGGTTCACGGTGACTCGCGACGACACATTCGTTTCAACGCGGCGGAGAGAATCGCGAGAGCGTGTAAAATGGTAGCAACGATGGAAAAGTAGATATTTGTAATAAAGCACGTGTGTTCAACAAATGACGTGAAATTCACTTGAAAATCCTTCTCACCTGAATAACGTAGGTAAGACCTGGTTATCGCGATTAGAGAGTTTCTTTGGGATTAGGATATTCTTAGGTACATGTTGGTTTTCTTTCGTGTGAAAATCAGATATCGTGTGTTTCTTTTTTTCTGATAAAATTGTAGTCAATGACATAATATCTCGGAGTTGTATCTTTGTTTGCAGAGTTACTATCGGAGATAATTGTCTAGGTTAAATAATGGGTGAATCATCGTAGTAGAAATACGCACCTTGTACCTGGAATTATTGGAACGAACCTATTTATATCTCTCTCAGATTAAGAATATTTTTTTATGTCACGAAAAAGAAAGAAATTTCCAATCTTAATTGAAAAACATAAACTATTCTTTGAAATTTACCTAAGGTAGTAAAAAGCTCCATTGTCTCATGATAGATTGAGAATATTTGTTTTATATCACGAGAACGAAAATTTTTCCAATATTAATTCTAAAATAGAAACAATTCTTTGAAATTTACCGAAGATAGTAAGAAACTCCACAGTCTCAAGACAGATTAAGAATCATTTCGTATATTACGAAAGAAGGAAGAGGAAATTTGGCAATATTAACTTTAAATACAAAAATTATCCCCCGAAATTTCCTCACATTTTTAATTTCCTCCATCGAAGCCGCCTTTACCGAACGTCACATCGTCGCGTAATAATCTCGCCGATACGTATACACGAGCGAGGCGGTCGGAAAAGAAGCAGGAAGGACGAGGAGGAAGAAGAAGCTAAAGAGAAGCAGGAAGAAATAAGAGATGGATGGAAGGGGCACGTGTAGCCTTGGGCAATGCAGGCAGGACGTTTGACGGTGCATGAACGCACGCACAAGGAGATTTAGAGTGGTGTTGGTTAAGCCTGGGGGGGTCACTCGAAGAATCATGGGTAGAAAAGAGCGGCCGGCGGGCATTTATCGTCGGCCATCTCTGAACAGCGCGATAAGGAACCGCGGAACGATGACGCATTCATCAATGCGAATTAACGGTGTAAAGTGTTAGGAGTTCTCGGTCGAGTAACGACGAGAAACAGCACCGGGCACACGAGAGTCGTTCGAATGCTGAAATGAATTTCCATCGACATCGACCGCCGATCGAGGAGGAAGCAAAGAAACTGGAAAGAAGGAAAAGGTACCTTGCCTGCGGCTATACACGCGGAACATGTGACACTAAATATAGAAACACGCCACGAGACGAGGCGAAGAGGAATTCTTCGATGGTAACGCGATAAGCGTGCTCATTTTGAAAAAAAAAAAGAAGAAGGAAGAAGAAATCGAGGAGACAGGTGAAGAAGAGACGTTTCGAGAGAAATGGAATTACCTGCGGTGTTACGTTAAATTAAAAGTAGAGTAAAATAATATCCATCGTACGCACATTCATTTTTCCATCAGTTTCAAAGAAATACCTTTCGATCCACTTCCTCCAACGATAAATCCAATAAGATCCACGCGGAAGATGCCACGAAAGACAATGCAGTTCGTTTGGAAACAATAGCGCTCCCGTTGGAACCAGCTACTTTCACCGTAACGATTGTCCTCCTGGCCACCCTAGTAGCTTCAAACGATCCTCGACAACTCTCTCAGAACTATCCTTCAAACCTCTCTCGCAACCTCCCAATTCCTAATCCTAGCTAATCCCACGAAACACGTGAGAAACGTCAACGTCTTTCTCACCTAAGCTCGAACCGTACCAAAACTACAGGCTCAGATAGAGCAGAATTATCAAGAGGAAGAAGCAGACGAAGGAAGGAGCGGAAAGTAGAAGACGACGACGACTACGACAACGAAGAAGAAGACGAAGAAGATGATGAAGAAGAGGTACATCTTGCCCAAGGCACTGCAGGCAGATGCCAGTACGTTGGTACGTGTACTTACATATACACACGTAAGAGCCGTTTCGGTTAGCCCGGGGGCGGAGGCGCGGAATCATGCAGCGTAGAAGAAGAAGAAGAAGGCCCCTTCCGTCCTCCTCCTCCCTCCTCCTCCCCCACGGCCCCCGTCGTTGTGTGGAAGATGCCCCCGGGGGCAGACGCGGAGGTGTACCCCACCACGAAGTGCGGCAGAGCAACGGTCGTTCCGCTGCGGGCACGGAAACGAGAGGAGATAGCGGCGAGCTTCGTGCGTCCTCCTGCACCCCCGCCTCCACCAGCGGCTCTCCGCGGCCAGGCAGTGACGGAGAAGGGCGGAGGGCACCGTGAAAGAAGAGGCGGAGGATGAAGAGGGGTGGGAGGAGGGGGATTCACGTTGCCCTCAGGACATCCAACGAGACAATACGCTCCGTGAAGCCCGCGGGCGACTTCACGACGGTCCGTGCTTCTCGCTCTCTTCTCTCGTTCCATTCTCCACCGCCCCTCCCGCCTCCACTCCTATCTTTTCTTTCTCTCTACTCTCGTATCACACTTTCAGCCCCTTCTTTCCACTGTTTCGCAGTCGTTGTTTTATCGTTTTATCCGCGGACGTCCGCGGCTCCCGCTCTCACACACCTCCGCGAGGCGCAGCCTGGCTTTTACTGAGCTTTCGCGCGTCCTTGCGATCATTCGGTGGGTACGAGGTGTCGTTCGATCAGGTCTGATAAGTACCTGTTCAGTGTAGATTTGAGAAGGAAAATTGAAATTCTGATCGAAGTACTGTCTAACTCCGTCAGTCTCAGCGTACGAACGGAAAGACTACAAAATTACAACCGCCGAAAAACTTTTTAAAAGAAAACCAACAATTGGTACGTTATCAAAAAACAAGTTGACACGGTCGAAAAGCAGATAACGAAGGAGGAACCCTTTAACCCCGACGGCTCAGTTTCAACACAGCCCCCCCAATTCAAGAAGCACCGAGAAAAGATTCCAGAAGCACTCTCCGGTTCTCGTCGAGGATGGATAAGGTGAAGCTCGTCATTTCGCAGGAGATTGTAACAAAGATTCCGATTAGGAGCGCGGAAAGTTTGTCCCTGGGTTCACCAGGGTCGCAGGTAGGTACATTCCGTCTTTCGATGTAATAAAGTGCACCACGGGCTCGCTTCGGGTATAACCTCACCTCCTCCACCTCCTCCTCCGCCCCTTATTCTCCACCGCTCTATATTTGTCCTCCCTTCTTTCGCCAATGGCCCTTTCCCTCGGCCTTTCTCGCTCTCCACCTTTTCGCCCGCCTTGTATGCTCGCTTGGAGGGAGTAACGATGCCCTGGGGCGAGCCTCCGCGGCGCGGCTCCGCGGTAACGATAAGCAACGAAATGAAATATTAATGAAGTACCTGAGCGCGCGACCATTTTTCGCGGGCGTCTCACCACCGACGCCTCGGGTGTCGAGGAAAAAGTCGCCACGGCGACAGGAGGGCCGATGGAAGGAGGAGGAGGATCATCGTCGACGGAGAAATAGAGAAAAGAAAGAAAGAAGGGAAAAAAGGACGAGCGAAGAAGAGGCTGAGGACGAGGAAAGGGGGAAAAACCGCCGACGAAAGCGTGTTTCGTTGGTAGATAAAAATAATTGATGACGCGGTTGGATTTTATTCATTTTTCAACAGCGCACACCCGATCACTCGATAATCCTCCTCCTCGTTTCTTCCATTGGCGAAACAACCAGCGTCTACATTTAGATAACATCTGACGTTGAATCGGATAACTTGGATCTCCTCCGAAGGATAAGGAGGAAAAGGAAGGAGAACGCGATGTTAATACGGCCGTTCCTTTTTTTCTCCTCCAGTTCTTACGCTCGATGCAATTATCGATACACACGCATACGCACATACTCGGATAACATGGATTCGTCAAGGAGAACCGTGTGGATCGTTCGTGAAAGGGTTAATCTATCTCGATATATCATTCCAACGCCTGGCAGTTTGTTACGTCGCTCCGCGCAATGTCAATCAGCGACGCGTCGATCACGTTTTTACCACTGGAACGTTCTCTTGCCTGTGTAATTAACGATCGAACGGGAGCACATTACGATCGAAACGGAAGAATTTCTTTGAAACGTCGTTTACCGCGCAACCGTGCTCTTTTCAACGTAGCTTCCCTCCGAAAGAAAGAAACATACGAGTGGAAGAAAAGAACGTGGACGTAGGAAAAGAAGCTTCTGATAAACCCGACTTTCGACACCCTCCAAAGTAGCTCTGTAGCTCTCTGAGCGAGGCTGAACCAGGAACAGGATACACGATAACCCAGGGACTCGACGCAAACAGCCGGCTAATTCGCCGAAGCCGCGGTTTTCGCGAACAATGCATGAAAATAACCCATTGCACACTTTTACCACGGCGGTTCATGTCAGCGTGGTTGCATTTGCGATGAATGCGAGATACCCCGGGCAATTCCCTAATTGCAGTGAGAGGCAAACGAAGCGGAGGGAAAAGAGAGAACGAGATGCCCGCGACGCGGTGAGAAACAAAGAGGGAAGGTGAAAGCTGGACAGAGATAGCACGATTGGAAGAGAAGAGAAAGAGAGGGAGAGATGTAGAAGACTATCCGCTGTTCTCAGCGATGCTTCGAGCGCTCCAGAACGCTCTTTCTCCGTCTCTCCGCGAAGCTTCGCGGAGCACGCCACTCTACATTCACCTTCCTGATATTTCCATCTTTGTTACCTTCATGTACGTTCGATATCCACCGTTCCTCGTCCCGCTATCTCTCCTCCTCGCGACGTGTGCAAGCGCTTCGAAGCGCTCGAACGCCCCCGCGAGCCAACACGGGCCAGCGCCTTCTTCGTGTATCACCGTCTCGCTCGATCTTCACGATCTTCACGAGTCGCCCGGGGACTCGACTGCCTATAAGCAGACTTCACGGACAGAAGAAAAGGGAACGGGCTGCTTTAGCAACGTTTCCTCGACTGCCTTCCTCCGCGTTCCTCCTACTCCTCGTCCTCCTCATCCTTCTGGCTCGTCTTCGTCGTTTTCTTCGTCTATGCCTCTATTTCACCCGATGATCGTCTATTCCATTTTTTCTTTCTGCTATTGTTGATACTGGTTGAACGGA